ATATTTACAGACATTAATGAGGTCACCCCTCAGTCTCCTCTTCTCCAAGCTAAAGAGCCCCAGCTCCCTCAGCCTCTCCTCATAAGGGAGATGCTCCACTCCCTTCATCATCTTGGTGGCAAGATGACCGTGGCAAGAAGACACGTATTCTCTCCACAACACAAAGCACCATGTAGGTGCAGGCCAGAACCATTTGAACTGTACAGAGTCACTGTGACAGGAACACAGGTTTAAACATTTCAGTCAGTCACGTATGCTGCAAACACCAAGACATGTTCTCTTAGTCCCAACTTACCCTTAGTAAGACCACTTTAGTTGGGCATTTCAGTATCTCAGTCAATGGGTTAGAATCCGCTTTCTTGCCCGTTTCTGTCATGAAGATAGAATAATTTAAGTTTAAAGCTCATTTAAACCTTATATGGGGGCTTTTATCAGAATCTTACTGTTATCAAACAATGGAATAAAAGCCATAAAATGTAGTTTCATATTGGTGAGGAACAGTCATTCGTAACTCACAGCCACTCCAAGGACAATAAGCAGAAAAATCACTTCTACAGGATGTGAATTAAGGTAGAACACTGACAACACACTATTTATTTGAAGAAAATAATTTATAAGTTCAGAATTTTATCAGATTCCCTAAGAACTAAAAATCAGATCTCCAGAATTCCACCACTCGTGCTCAGGCAGAGGTGCCATTCTAGTAAGCCTAGATGTTGTGTCTAGATTAGACAATAGCAGGGAAATGAGAGCAGTGTCTAAAGCATGTGACAGGGAGAAATCCAGCAGGAGCAGAGCAGGATCATCCCTTGAAGAGAAGAGGCTTCCAAACACTAAAGTGATGGAGGAAGAGGAGGATAAGCTAAAAAATTAATAGAGAACCACTTGAAAAAAAGATTATAAATTTCCACAAGAAGGAATATGAGTCATTCTTCCAACTCTATCTAGTATTTTCTGCAAGGACAGATGGCAAACAAAAAATACAGGGGCTTCCACTGAGCCTGAACTATTATTTTTCCCTGACCATTTTTCACAAACTTATTGGTGCAGGATAAAATTACCTTTCTCTGTAGACTCGCCAACAATGATTTTGCCACCCCTCTTGCTCGTCTTCTCTACTGACAGTGCTGTGCTCAGCCCCTGTTCATGCTTTCCCAGCCCCTGGCCCTCTCTGAAACCATACTTCTGCATGATTTTATGAGCTACTGTCCCTCTGCAAAGAGAAAAATCATCAGTTAATAAAGGTTTCTTACACAAAACATTAACATTGCATTTCTCCTGAGTGCTCAAGTATTTTACCTCCTAAAATCTCATTACACAGAGACTGAAAACATAAGAGCTTCTACATGACTTTACAACTTAGCAATTTCACAGTACCTTGTGAAGATGAAAAGTGTTACCCCTGATAGAAGAGCTGCTACAGAAGTTGAGTAAGTAACATTATTCATACTTTTAGAAATACAATATAAATTCCACTAGCTGCACAAGTCAGCATCATACACTTTATAGAATGGTTTGGGTTGGAAGGGAGGTTTAAAGGTCCAACCCCTCTGCCAGGGGCAGGGACATCTTCCACTAGACCAGGCTGCTGACAGAATCACAAATCAGATTAGACAAAGGTCTATTTAGTCCAGTTTCTTATCTTTGTCAGTGGCTGATATGAAAAGCTTAAGAGAAAAGGCAGATGTGGAACAATCTACTTCCCACATTAGATCACATTCCACTATATTAGTTCCAAACTCCTGTAAGTTCCAGAGTACAGGCTGCATATCCTCTGTATTCATTCAAACATGTCTCATCTTTCTGAATTTTCAAGAACATATTGAGGCAATAAAGTCCCCAAGCTATTTAAAGGGACCTTTTTAAATAAGTACCTTACAGAAAACATCTCTACTAATAGGTTTTGAAATTCACACTGAATTAGTATTTAGAATCAAAATATACCTACATGTGGTGGGCTTTCTTTGGAGACCATAGCTAGATAAGTTAAGACACAAAAAACATGCCATGGTACACTAGTTTAAACCACAGTAACTATTCTATGCTCAGTAATCCCTGTCTTATCAATAGGCACATAAGATTACACAGAAAAAGCAGGACCAGCAACTATATGACTATTTTCTAAGCATACTTTGTGAAACATACAAAGACACATTAAAAAAGGCCAAAAAGTCTGGCTCTGTAATGCTGAAAGGTTAAAACACTAAGTCACAGAATAAACAGTAGCCAATTGTGTGGTCAAAGTAAGGCAGGTTAAGATATATTTTTAGCACTTCCTTCAATGAAGTGAAGGTCCCAGGGTATTGTTAACTAGAGGTGGTAACAACACATAAACTGGTCCAAGTACTGAGCTGAGCTATCCTTTTTCTGGACAATGTAAAGAAAAAAGGTGTTTCTATTAAAAAAAGCATGAAAAATTGCCTCCAAAATGGAAATACAGTGTAATAATATAATACAGTACACTTTAATAATGTCATACACTACAATTTTATGTCTGTGTTTGTCCTGGGAACAGTTTTTGCTACACTGAGGCTGCATTTCCACGACACCCGATGCGATTGATTAGAGGATCATAGCTAACCACCACACCTTTCAAATGAGATCTCCAAGCAGTTTTTAACTAAAAATTCAACTTCACTTTGCTGCCACAGTAGTAGCACAAACATTACACACAATGCTAACCCAAGGCAGAAAAGTAAGTGGACAGATTTGTAGCCACAGCTGCTACAATTGTGCAAATATGCTTTGAATTTTTGGACACACACACACACACAGCAGAGCTGAAATAATTTCCCCACTGGTACAAAGTAAATTTAAGACAAAGCTGGAAAAGAAACTTTTAGACTGACTTAATATTAAATTATTTTCTTGTGAACTAGTATTTGTATCTTACCAAATAAAAGTCAGATGTAATGTCTGGAGATGTTGTATGAGAAAAAAAACCAAACAAACTAGCTTGCCATCTGTGTTTTCCTGTATATTACATTAGTTTGGCTTGAACAAGCCATAAACACTTTCTACTGGAGTGTGGCTTCAGAACTGGATGGAAAGCAGAGCCTTGAATGGAACCACTTCAAATGCATTTCTCTCAATCAAGTAAATCCACTGCTTTTTCTGTATCCCACTAGTTAGGACTGTATGCACTCAGACTAACCACATACATGCATGGCTTGTGTTCTTCTCTACTGACAAACTATTTTAACTTTTGGGTTCCACCAACTTCTAATGCCCTTTTCCACAAAATGTGCAGAAGTCAATCATTTACCCCATGTTAGCAAGGAAAGAGTTGCTGGGTCCCGTGGGGGAACGAGGTCTTTCTGGCTCATCATACACTGGAGGAGGAATAGCTGCTTTGGAAGATGGTGCCCGAGGTCTCGACTCCTCTTCAAATGGAAACGATGCTACAGCTGAAAAAAAAAGGAGACATTTGCTTTTTCAATAAAATACTTTGCATGAACTACCTACTTAGAGTACTATGCCTTAAACTGAACTCATTTACAGACAGCTTTTCATATGCAAGTTGTACTTTTTTTCTGCTTTAATACTAACAAACTATGAAAAAAAGTCTTCCATTTAAATCCAAATCAGAAGAATGTTTCCTTTGCACATGCTGCTTTATCGTCCTCTCACGTCTCTCTCTCTCATAAACAAGATTTGAGTTATTCTGATTTTTCCTCACTGGATACAGAGTGAGTTCACACCCACAGGTCTATAATACATTTATTAACCTCTTACTTATCAAATGGAGAAAAGAAATATTAATGAGGCCACCTGCACTACCATGAGTACACTGCATGTTTACACAAAAGAGTAATCAGTCTTCTAAAGAGATCTACTGGCAATTTCTGAACTGTAACTTTTCCTTGAGGATGGAGACATACATATATATATATATCTATATGTAGATACTTCAATCATACTGATTAAATTATTAAACTACCTTCCACTGACAAGTCAAATGGCAAAATGTAAAAAAAAAAAAAGCTTACAGAAAAAGGAAATACTCAAAAGAGACTTTTGAATGTACTCATGGACTTTTAGACTGACTTAATTTTAAATTATTTTCTTGTGAACTAGTATTTGTATCTTACCAAATAAAAGTCAGATGTAAAGTTTGGAGATGTTGTATGAGGAAAAAACAAATCCCTATTTAAGCAGCAGATGGACTGGACTATGGGCCTTCTGCTACAGTAATAGTTTCTCAGGTTTTTCCAGCCTAGATGCGAGCATCAAGTAACAAGTCACACAAAGGTTCCCTTGTGAGATCATGTCACAGTTTAAAAGCTTTCCTCCTCACGGTATTTCTACTATTTCCAGCCTATATTTACTTTTTCTTGACACCACTCAATTGCTCTTAATTATTTACTCAAAACAATCTGTTTTTAATGTTTACACACTTCAAATGCTTTCAGTATTATATTATTCACTTACTCCATCAAGATTCATTTTTTAAAATGTTAATCTTCTCAGAAATAAAATCAGGACTCTCAAAGGAAAAGTTTGTGTGCATAAGATTCTTTTTCTTATTTTTTAACGATGTACACAACATGCTGTTCAGTATTTAAAATTTTAAATGTACTGTGGTTCTGGGTAAGACAATTAGACATGCAAAAAATTAAGAGTTTTGCTGTTCTAGCAAGATCATGCCATCTAGTGGACAACTGCAACCTACAGGCTACCTTCACTGAGGGAAACCCTCGTGCACACACATCTCCAGCAGATACTGCCCCAAAAACTTATAGAATTCTGTTTGCAGTGCACAACCCCTTTACTTTATGAAAAGACATTCATAAAGTACCTCTTAAATCAAAAGGTAATGGAAAAATTCCCTCTCCATGCTGTGGAAGTTTCTATCTACCCAGAGAAACTTGTCTATAACGTTTCTTTCATATCAGAAATTAGTAACTGATCATAGTTATAACAGACCAGCTTGCCAAACCACTTCTCTAGCAATGCAGAAAGTATCCTTTAGAACAGAGATGTGAAGCACAACAGTATCACAGGTTCTCCACAGCCTCCCATCATCATAGCACAAGTTCTTCTGCCTCAAAAAATCACATGGGAAGAGCAGCAGGATGACTTAACTGAACAGAAGGTTGAGTGAGAAATAAACACCACCACGAGGTTTTAGAGAACAGGATTTGGTGTACTCACGTTCTTTGTCCTTCTCAACAAGAGATGTGGGTGGTGCAATGGCAGCTCCCCCCATACCTATGAGCAAAATGGAAGACAACACATTTCTACAATTAGGGTCTGCTGCTCAGAACAGCTTCACTGCATCTTAACACAGCTGCTGGCTCCTCACCAGTTAATTCTTAACATACATCTCCATCAACATAAAAGTAGCAAGAAAGCAGCCTGAGAAGTTTCAACAGTCATAAACTAAAAATTAATGAAAAGCACATCAAGGGAGACAATATCAAACTGCAATGATGTACCACATATCATGTCTATCTTAAACATATTTTGCAGAATTTCAAAATCAAAGACTACAGTGAAACAAACCTTCAGTTCTAAAACTGCTCAAACCAAATGAAAAATTAACTACACTTTCAAAACTGTAAAGTACAAAGTCCCTTCCATATTTCAATGAGCAATATTCTAAAGTAGTCCCAAAGGCAGAGCATAAATTTTTACATGTCCTGTGCCAGAAATTTTCTTTTTTAAAACAACAGACCTGAATTATTTACTGGAACTTTGTTGCTGAAAGAGAATCAAGTTTAATTTTGTTTATGTAAAGACATTATCACCCAGATCCACATCTTCTAACTAGTTAGTTCTAATGGCATTCAAATAACAAATGCAGGAATGGTAAGCATTTATAGTGAAAACTCAACAGCGATTCTCAGACTGATTTTATCTCATGCCTCACTCTTTTCCTGGAACCTACACCACACAGAAACTTTAAAACAGGCATCTACAAACTCATGTAAAAAGAAGTCTTTCCACAAAATAATTTAGCTGTTATCTGCCTCCATGGAAAGAACAGTTTTCTGCATTACAAGCATTAGGGTGTAATAAATTGCTAGGTGCTGCTCTCAGCTGAGAACAGAAAATACAGAATCCATGAAACAGGAACAGGACTGTGAATTTCCCCCCACCTTTTTCTCTTCTTTCCCCATCAAAACCATAAACAGCTCCCTTACTTCTTTTCCGTCTCTCTCTTTCATAATCTTCATCTTCATCAGAATCTGGATCTGGTCTTCTTGAAAATCCACTGGCTTCATGTCTGTCTTTACGTCTTCTAGGAGACACAGCGAGTCAGGATAAGAAACCAAAGTCAACTCTTGGCTTTAATTTGTGACACCACCTTTGCAGGGTAAATTATACAGCTACACTCTAATTGGCATTTTATAATGTTTTCCATGAAGGTGTAAGTAAACATCTTTACTTTTTGTTTCTCTCCTTTTATCCTCATGGAGTATTTTTTGTAAAATGTGAGACAGATCCAAGCAAGAGAATTTTCCACTTGCAAGTCAGCCAAGAAGAATGTATGGAAATGAGGAAGCATCTGAATAAAATCCAGTCCAATCTGACTACAGTGACTGAACGAGTACAGTGAAGGTGGTGTCGATGGAACCAATAGCAAGGTAACAGACATTAATTAGCTTACACCTGCTTTGAACAGAATGCATTTTCAAGTCCCCATCAAAGGCTACACGGAGTAATATCATTTACTCAGTCAATTAAAAACCAAAAAATCATCAGGCTTAAACATCAGGTTATTCCGAGGGCTGGAGCACCTCTCCTGTGAGGACAGGCTGAGAGAGTTGGGGCTGTTCAGCCTGGAGAAGAGAAGGCTCTGGGGAGATCTTATAGCAGCCTCCCAGTACCTGAAGGGGCTACAAGAAAGCTGGGGAGGGACTTTTCATAAGGGCAGTTAATGACAAAACAAGGGGAAATGGGTTTAAACTGAAAGAGGGTAGGTTTAGATGAGATCTTAGGAAGAAATTCTTCACTGTGAGGGTGGTCAGACACTGGAACAGGTTGCCCAGAGAAGCTGTGGCTGCCCCCTCCCTGGAAGTGTTGAAGGCCAGGCTGGATGAGGCTTTGAGCAACCTGGTCTAGTGGAAGGTGTCCCTGCTGATGGCAGGGGGGTTGGAACTGGATGATCTTTAAGGCCCCTTCCAATCCAAACCATTCTATGATTCTATGAAATGACAGCCCAGGTTTCTGAGATCTTGCATGCTAGTTAAAGTATGACAGAGCCTGCGGCACTCCTCCTCCACCAGAACAACAAAGATATAACTGAGAGAAGACAGAGAAGTCCAGATGACTAGAAATATTAATTAATTTCCACAATCTAAACAGAACAACAGAATATCCCTCTTGGAATTCCACGGGACTTTAGATAATTCATACCATGACAAAACTAGCTTATTTATTTCACTTAAAATAAGCAAACCTAATCTTACTGCCTGGCTGGCAGATGTTTTACCACCTACTTCATCAGGATATTGCATCTGCATTCAATTTATTTAATATGATTAGAGAGATTTCTTATTCCAGGAAAGAACATAAAGGTAATTAAAAAAAAAAAAGTAGTATTTTCTTTTGTCCAGAGACAAAAGAGTAATAAATATACAATTAACTTACTCAAAGTGAATGCAGAATATTAAAAAAGACAATGCAACTATGCCTCTCAAAGGCTAGCTACATCTTTAACACTGAATGCATTCACTTACCAGTTTGGAGTGGGTAAAAGCACAAAGGATGGTTTATCATTGACTGTTGAAAGGTATTTCATAGAATCATAGAATCACAGAATGGTTTGGGTTGGAAGGGACCTTAAAGATCATCCAGTTCCAACCCCCCTGCCATCAGCAGGGACACCTTCCACTAGACCAGGTTGCTCAAAGCCTCATCCAGCCTGGCCTTAACTAAAACGTTGCACTTGTTTCTACAAGCATCCAGTATTCTTCACAAAACCTGTAAGAATTTCCCTGAAACTGTTTAGAGGGATATAACTAAACAAACTGACGTTTCTCTGCTTTATCTAATTGTCAACATTCATGAGTTAAAACTAAAGCCTTACTTTTCTCTTTCTTCGATCTCCTTTTGCCTCTCCAGCTCGCGCTGCCTCTGTCGTTCCTCTCTTTGACGCTTTACCACTTTTTCATAGTCGTTTGGAAACATGGGATCATACTCGTCTGCCAAAGGAATCAACACATCTCCCGCAGAAAAACCACTGGGTACAGGATCCTTCAAAAAAAAAAACCAACCCAAAAGTTTTCAGCCAAGATCTGAAAACAACATCCAGTTGGATACCAAGAGTTTAACACTTCCTTCTCACTCCCACCACAAATCTCAACTCCTGACTTCTATAAGGGCAGGGAATATCCTAATCCCGCTGGTATTAGAAGAAATTATTGCTTTGTTAAAACTAACATTTCACCCAGTCTCTCACTGTCTCAAATTTTTCCATGAAGAAAGTTTCCAGGAAGATTTTTCCATCTCCCCCACCCACTCCCCCTGCCAAAACCAAAGCAGCATCAAATCAGCACGGATAAGAATTTTTCAAAACCCATTAATTCATTATTAGAAGCACTATGGTATCTTGTCATTGCCACCAGCTGTAAGGGCTCCTCCCACACTTTCTCTTCAGTCTTTTTCATTATCCTCTATTAATATAACACCACCAGAGGGGCACATACTGTTCTTCTCTCATCTGAAATAACTATTTCAGAACTATCACCTTTGAAAAAGTTTCAGGGAGAAGTTTCTTTTGATTCCTTACCACAAGAAATCCATTTTAAAAGGGCAGGTGGCTTATCTTTTATTTTTAAGGTAACTGTTACACAAGTCCAGTTCCAACACTGGTTCAATGACAATTACATTTGTTATTTATGTGATAAAATTGTTGTCCTGCAAAGTACTTTGAAGCTGTCCAGGAGAAATACACTAGGAACACTGTTTTATTTTAACTGCACATTAATCTTGGTAATTCCATGTTGTATAACATGCAAGTCAGTATAAAGTTAAAAGGTTCATTAATTAAAGAATCTCTGAGCAGAGGAAATAAATTTCAGAAAATAATCACTTCTTTGACCACTAGGAAAGAGGATGAAAAAATAAAAATACAGATGGCAGTCAAAGAATTCCAATTCCAAAATATCTGTTAACAGCTGGACTTTTTAGCTGTCTTGGTCTTACCTTCAACCCAGATGCTACATGAGGCGGTGTGTCCACAATCTGTCTCTCATCAGAAGAGCTACCTCGTTTCAGGTCAATCACTGGAGCAAGGACTGTTGTTTGTTTTGTTCTCTGACTCTGAAAAATCACCAAAACATGAAATGTCTAAAGACGACAACAAAATATTTTCCTGAAAAGCAGCTTGCTTTATATACTTACAGTTGGTATCTACAGGCTTTTTTTAAAAAGAATGAAAACTACTGTCTCAAATTCTCCACTGTGCAAAGCTCAATTCATCATTTCTCTTCAATTTAGCAACATACAGGAATTCTCAATGTTTCTAATGAACCTTGATGTGGATGACTTAGTTAATGCCATGGCAAAGGCCACTCATTTCTGAGACAGATGCTTGCCAACTATGGTCAAAGAGCTGCTACACAAATACAGATCAGAAGCAACATTTCAAAGAGTGCTTCAGTGAAACCAGTGCACACCTTCCTCTTTTTAAGAGGATGAGATCAGACTTTGCTCGTGAACGCACTAGAACATACAGTGGTAGGTGA